TAGCTGGTTCTCTTTTCTGTCGTGTAGTCAGAAAAAGACTATAGAAAAAGTTCACTCTTTATAGTTGAGCTTGTCAGCTGTGGGCTATGTTACAGGGTCATTGGATGGGAACCTGCCATTTCTTTCATGGGACCTTCAGATACATTGTCCACTGGGGACAGTGCAGTTTTTATAGAGATCTTTTTTGTTGTTAATTTTTTATTTTAAAAACTTGTTTACTTATTTTACATACCGAATGCAGTTTCCCCTCCCTTCTCTGTCTCCCCCTTCCCCCAATCTTCTCCTCCTCCATTTCTGTTCAGAAAAAGGCAGGCCTCCCATGGATATCAACAAAACATGGCATATCAAGTTGCAGTAAGACTAAGCACTTTGACATGTATTAAGGCTGGACAAGGAGACCCACTATGAGGAGTAGGGTTCCAAAGCCTGCAAAAGAGTCCGAGATAGCCCCTGTTCCCACTGTTAGGAGTCCCACAAGAAGGGCCTAGGTCGGTCCCATGCAAGTTCCCTGGTTGTCGGTTCAGTCTCCATGAGTTCCTATGAGCCCAGGTTAGTTGATCCTGTGGGTTTTATAGAGATCTTCTTTCCTTCCAAGGATGTACACTTGGCTTCAGAATCTTAACCCTTTAACTTTTAGTTTGACGTCACTGTGCCTCCATCGCTTTTAAAAGACCTGAGCTCCTAGACCTTGTACTCCCCATCTAGTACATCATATGTCCTGCTGGCTTTGGAGAAGGCTAATCACCTGGCCAGTTGGCATGGGGGAGGGACCTGAGAGTGTTTCAGGTACAGAAATTCAATCAGTTCCATGTTTTAGTTTTATTCCTCAGTGCGCTTGTCTGTGTGGTCCTGTTTCATTCTGATCTTTGTTAGATGAGTTGACTTTTTTCTTGTTGGAATTTTCTGCAAGTTGCTTCATACTCAGTTTTTGTAGTTCTAAATCCTTCATCAGTTTTTCATTTGCTAAAACTTGGTTGATTGATCTTTTCTGCTGTTCCCTGTTATCTTCTAGTCATAGTCTCTCTCTGTCTCTGTATCTGTTTTTTTCTAGACAGCTTCTCTGTGTAGCCTTAGAACTTAGAGATCTGCCCACCTCTGCTTCCGGAGTGCTGGATTAAAGGTGTGCGCCACCACCACCATCTGATGTCTTCTAGTTTCTTCATCCTTGTGACTTACTTTTTTTATTCCTTTAATCATGCTCCAGAGTTATTTGTTTATTTGTTGTTTTTAGACCTGGCTGGCCTCCTCCTTGTGGAAATCTTCCTGCCCCAATCTCCCAAATGCTGGGATTACAGGTACTGACAGGGCCACCGTGCCTGACACGTCAGTATTTTTTAAATAACAGGATAAAATCCTGGCATTTCAGTATTTTCTAAATGACAATATAAAAGACTTACTAAAGTCATTTTAATTTAAATACTTGTTTGTGGAAAAGAAAACGTATATGTTGTTTTGTTTTTGAGACATTAGTTGCACCATGCAGCCAGCGCCTTGAACTCACAAAGATCTGCCAGCCTCTGCCTTCTAAGTGCTGGTTTTTAAAAATGGGTACTACTACACATGTCAATTTGTCAGTTCTGAAAGTGAAAACAAAACAAAGAAAAAAGGAAGAAAAGGCCAAAAAGTAAGAAAATATTATCACCACCACTGAATTGGGTATATATTTCTTTTTTCTTTTTTTGGTTTCTTTTGAGACAGGGTTTCTCTGTGTAGCTTTGGTGCCTGTCCTGGATCTCATTCTGTAGATCAGGCTGGCCTCAAACTTATAGAGATCTGCTTGGCTCTGCCTCCTGAGTGCTGGGATTAAAGGCATGCACTACCTTAAAGGCTGGTATATATTTCTTATTCTTAAAAATATATACATATACAGGGATATTTATTGTAGATGGAATATCTATCAATCTATCTATATCTATAAATGGATATTATATACATGTGTTTGAAAATATGTAGCTGTGTACACATACGTGTTTGTGTATACATTGTATGAATGTATATAATTTTATAAACATTTTTAAGTGGAAAGGTCATGGTGAGCTTTTATTGGAGGCTGGTTTTCAGTTTGGAAGCGACTAAAGGATATTAGTGATTCACTGAAGATTGGGAACCCAAGGCTTCCCGGTGTTTGTTGGACATGTGAATTGAGTGCTTGCTGTACGAGCCTGATGACCAGTTTGATCCTCACAACCTGTGGTTAGAGGAGAAAATCAACTCCCTGAAAGTTGTCCTCTGACCTCCACAGTACACCAAGGTGCACACTTGGCCACACACCTCATATAGATAATACAGTAATAATAAATAAGAGAATTTAAAGAAACTATTTACAAATCTTTAATTCTGGCTATAGGTAAATTGTTTAGAGTTTTGAATTAGCCCTAGCAGGAATATTTATACTGATACTGACTTAGAAGTCCTGGATCATCTAATAATTCTCAAAACAGTATTTTCACACATTATTTTGTTTATAGTCATATTTAACTTATTTTGAGTAATTACTAAAGAAAGATGTAACATTTGATCTAAATTATTACATAGGATGCATCCTGCTTTTTTATGCTATTGTTAGGTAACTAATTTTATCAAGAAAGTATTGCACATGAAACACTCACGGCTACCTTTATAGTAATATAAGGTTCTGATTGGCTAATTCCTGATTATCAGAATCTGACATCCTTTGTTTTTTCTTTTTCTTTTTTTTGGTTTTTCGAGACAAGGTTTCTCTGTGTAGCTTTGCACTTTTTTCTGGAACTCACTTGGTAGCACAGGCTGGCCTCGAACTCACAGAGATCCGCCTGGCTCTGCCTCCCGAGTGCTGGGATTAAAGGTGTGCGCTTCCACCACCCGACCTGTTTTTTCTTTTTGTATACCAAATGTACAACTAAATATATAACTACAATCATAACTCTGTAGAAAGTCTTCAGAAAAGAAAAATTATGTTTTATATTTTGAAACAATATTTTTAATCATGACAGTACTTACCTTCTGGGGAAGAGGAATTAGGAATTCATCTTTCAGATCAGAGTCACAAAAGCCACATTGAAGCTGCTGGTGATGGCTCTTATCTAACCCCAGCACTTGAGGCAGAGGCAGGTGGAGCTCTGGGAGAGTTGCAGGCCAGCCTGGGGTGACATGGCAAGAACCTGTCTAAAACAACTCCAAAAGGAGCAAACTAGGTCCTGGGCTGTGGTGGTGGTTATTTTGGAGTACCCCACCCACCCTGCACTTTCCCCCATGCAGTTCCCGCTCTGCAGATGAGGGGCACTTTTGATGTTGTGATGGCAGTGAAGTCTGGGTTTGTAGTGGGGTTGTTCTGTGGGACCTGGTCAGGTGTGGTCAATTCTCATTAGCCACACTCAGTTATGCTATTATGCCTGCTTATGGTTTGGCCTGAAAGAACTGCTGTTTTCTTTTAGGGGGACACATTCTGAACCATTCTTGCATTTGGGAAATCCTTAGAAGGAACTAACTATTTTCTTTTTGGTTTTTCAAGTTATCTCTCTACATGTTCATTTTAATTTTTATTTCTATGTACACGTTTTCTTATAGTGTCTCCATAGATATAATATAATGATGCTGTAATAAAGCCTTCATGAATTTTTCTTTTCTCTTCTCTTCTCTTCTCTTCTCTTCTCTTCTCTTCTCTTCTCTTCTCTTCTCTTCTCTTCTCTTCTCTTCTCTTCTCTTCTCTTCTCTTCTCTTCTTTTCTTTCTTTCTTTTTTTGAGACAGAACAATGTATCCCAGGCTAGCTAGCCTCTGCTCTATGTCTCTGCAGCCAAGGAGGACCTTGAACTTCTGATTCTCTTGCCTCCACCTCCCAAGTGCTGGGATCTGAGGCTCCCCAACACTGAGTTTCTGCAGTGCTGGAGAACCTGCTGCCGCTTGCTTGTTAGTTAGACAAGCGCTTTCTAACTAAGCCACGTGCCAAGCCCACGCAGTTACCTTTTTTTAAATAAAAAAATTCAGATATATTTCTAGAAGTAGGATTGCACTGTCAAAAAAGCATCAACATTCTTTTTACTTTTTAAATTAAATTGCTGAATGATTTCTGAAAGACTCATACCAAGCTAGCTGTGTGTAAAGAGCTGGCTGACTTCCCAGTAACCATCAACTTTGCTACTCAGTTAACATTCTTCTTCAGTCTCGTGAGTGAAATGATAATAGTGCATTGTTTCATCTCATACTACCGTAATGACTGATGAGGTCTTCCCTTTGAAATAGTTAGAACTCAGAGCCTGTAGAGATAGCTCAGCAGTTAAGAGCACAGATTTTCCAGAGGACCCAGGTTCAATTCCCAGCACCCACATAGTAGCTCACAACTATTTGTAACTCCAGTCCCAAGGAATCTGATACCATCTTTGGACTCCGTGGGTACTGCGTTCATGTGGTGAACAGACAAACACTTACACACATAAAATAAAACTAAGTAAAATCTCAAAAGAAAACTTTAAATATTTAGAACTCAGCTTGAAAAATATGACTCTAAAATGCCTTTCATTTTCAGGGAGTGTAAAAAATGGAGGACTAGGTGGTTAATTACTAAACAAAATGACATATTTATTAATATATGTTAATGATTTATTAATATAAGTTAATGATAAGAGCAACTTAAACTGTTAGAAAATCGATATAATGAACTTTTTTTAGGATTGATATTCAAAAGACATTCAAAAAAGTTGGTGCAGATTCGAGTTGTTTCGAATGTGTGAAGAGTTCATTGGTATGCTAGAAGACTGTGTTAAAGCTGTTTTACACGGCTCGTGAAAAAAGCCAACCACAGTTTACTTGGAAAAGTTTTTAGATGTGGCTGGCTGTGGTGGTATGTGCCCGTAGTTCCGGCTGCTCTGGAGGCATGGGAGGAAAATCAGCTGGCTCCAGAAGTTCACAGCCAGCTTAAGGAATATAGTTAATTTTATTTTCTTAAAAAGTTTAAAAATTTGTATCTTGAATTTCATTTGTTGTGTTACTAAATTAGGAATTTGTTGTTGTTGTACCCTTGTAGAAATGGGACGCCGGTCATCGGACACCGATGAAGAGAGCAGAAGCAAGAGAAAAAGGAAACACCGGAGACGCTCCTCTTCGAGTAGTTCCTCGGACAGCAGGACGTACAGCCGCAAGAAGGGCGGCAGGCGGCCACGGTCCGAGTCCAGGTCCTGGTCTAGAGACCGCCAGCCTCGCTCACATTCCTATGAGAGAAGGTTAATGCTCATAATCTTTGTTTAGATGGTAAAGAGAGTGATGTTCTTCAGAAGTCATGTTTGTAGTTTTAATTTTGTTGAATAAAATAATTTTCTTTTAGTAGTTAGGTACTTAGGAGGTTAAATCCCAACCCAGAGGGTTTTTTGTTTTTTTCCAATTTTTTTTTTTCTAATCAGGCCCAGTATCCACATCTTTTGCCTGTATGTAAGCAAGTAGATAGAAGTTGGTATAGTTCTTGCATTATCTGATGCTATTTGGAAAGATTGTATAGTACTATGACCCATAATATTTAGTAGCTGATCCAGCTGTGAATCTGTCTGGGTGTTGGAGAGCAGTAATGTTTTCTTTATTCTGTCTTCTTGAGGAAAGAGTGAGACAGCAGGAACGAGCACTTTTAGATCCCCCTTAACGCTCACAACAAAACTTTGCCTCACAGTGACGCTCACAACAAAACTTTGCCTCACAGTGACGCTGATGGTTTATTTCAGACGCAGGCACAGGTCAAGCAGCAGCTCTTCTTACGGCTCCCGAAGAAAACGCAGTCGAAGTCGATCCAGGGCTCGAGGAAAGTCCTATAGAGTTCAAAGGTCTCGGTCCAAAAGCAGAACAAGAAGGTATGCACATCAGTACTTAGGCTTTGTAACAGCTCTTTGCGATCAGCGGCTCACAACAGCAGTAGTTATTTTTCCCTGCCTTCTCCAGTTCCACTGGCGTCTGATGGCAGTTCTGCCTCTCTCGCTGGAGACTGCTCATGCAGGTGTCATTATCTGACGGCTTTACTGGGACTGGGTGGTTCAGTGTGACCTCACTCATATATCCCGTGTTTGTTTCTGGCTGTGGCTTCTCATTCCCTGAATGATGGTGGAAGTGTCTGAAGAGGGAAGAACAGGAGTTGCAAACTCTCTAGGTTTAGAACTAACCTGCTGTGATATGGACTGAGCATTTATGTCTTTCAACAATTTGTTAAGGCTTCTGTTCCTGGTGTATCTGTTTGTAGATAAGGCTTTTATAGAAGTAATGAAGGTAAATGAGGTTGTTTTGTTGGGACCCTAATCTGATACTGCTATTGACCCTGTAAGAAGCAGAAGTGAGGGGCTGGAGAGATGGCTTAACAGTTAAAAATGTAGCTCACAGATACTGTAACTCCAGTGCTGAGATATCTGCACATATCTGGCATACATGTATACAGACACATAAAGACAAAAATGTAAATCTTGAAGAAGAAGAAGAAGAAGAAGAAGAAGAAGAAGAGAGGGAAAGACAGACCTTTCCATTTATGCTCGGAGGGGAAAGGCATAGTGAAATGGCTGCCTTTTACAAGACAGGAAGGAGTTCTCACAGGGAACTAACTCTCTGGCCCTTTGATCTTGAACGTATAGTCTAAAAAACCCAAGAAAATAAATTTCTTGTGTATACTGTGGAGCAGCCTGAGCAGACTGATGGGTGATGCATCACTCCTGCATTTTCTAGCTTTGCTTTAAGGCCAGTATAGGGAAGAGTATGTTTGAGGAGTTGAAGATCTTAGACAGTGTAGAAAACGTCATTTAATAGAATAGGACCGTGGTATTGAGGGAATTAAGGAAAGGAGGTGTTTAGAAGTCATTGAGAGCCTTTAGACAGAAGAGTATTGAAGTAAATAAAAGAATAAAAACAGTGTATTGTTGTTAAAGATTGCTTCTTGTCTCTGCTTGGCTCTGTGTAGTATTAGGCTCTGACTGGGGATTCACATTAGTATAATGGGCATACAATTTATAATTCTCTTTGCATATGAAGCTTGATTGCAATGAAGTCGAAATGTTTAGCTTGTGTGGATTTTTGTTATTTGACATTGACCCCTCTGCTTTTTATTTCTTCTGTGTATAAACCACTTTGTATAATACACTGTTGTTCTCTGTACGTGCCGCAGAGTTCCAAGGTTTTGCTTTTATTTGCATATATTCTTTCTTCCACTTTTTTACCACATCTCTATTTTGAAAATACTTTTTACTCTTTAATGTTCAGTTCTATATGATCCTAAATTCTCTATTTCTTTATTTGATATTTCTTTATTTTTTAATTGATTACTATCTTTTTTCCCCAAGTCAAATTTAGTGCATCCTTTTTTTTGGCCCTCACATATAGTTTCTGATATGTAATAATTATGAATATTGTGATCTCAGTTTTAATTAAAATGCATGAGTATTTTTTTTGGTCTTATATTAATTCTGCCATAGGCACTGTACCTGTAATCATGGAGACTTTATAGCATATTTTAATTTTGAGTAGGGATAGTCTCCCATTTCTTTTGCCTGCTTGTTTCCTTTCATATGAATATAAGTTTGCTGCTAACTCATCTAGTTCTATGATAAAAGCCTGGTGTTATTTTTAGTCAGATTTTATCAAACTTAAAAGATAAGGTCAGATCACACTTTTATCAAGCTAAATTCTGTTTAGAGCAGAGTCTAGGTTTTATTTTATTTTTATAAGGAGTATTCTCATAAAACCTTTTGTTTATTTCTTGTTAAATTTATCCCAAAGTAGTTGAACTTTTTACTGCTATTATACATGGGATTTTCTGTACATAGGATATATAACTATTTGTTATTTTTATATATGAAACCTATGGAATTCATATTAATTTTATACCCTATGCCTCTTAGTTCTTTTACTGTTCCAGTTCATTTCTGTCTCTCTAGGGCTTCTGTGCAAACGGAAGTAGTTTTGCTTTTCTATTTTCATTCTTTCTTTCATCTGATTGTATTGCTTTTAACCTCTAGGATAATATTCAACACAGCGTTGGAAAGAATATACATTTTTTTTCTGTGATTTATTGAAAAAAAATCTTGTATTTCCCATCTTTAGGCTTCTAGTATGTATGTTTTGCTATTTTAAGAGTGTGCCCATCACGCTTTTCCCCGACTAGAAATGGGTGTTGAGTGTTGAATTTTCTTGAAGCTTTTTCATTTAGAAATGGCATATGATTCCCCCAGATCTCTTGAGGAATCAGTGTTGCATTTCTGGAGTAAACCTCAGTTGATCTGGATTTGTTTTTTTCTTGATGTGGTATAAGAGTCTGTTCTCTTAATTTTTTAACTTTGTGCTTTTACATTGATAATTCAATGTGAAATTCTCTCTTTTGTACTGTTTTTATTAAATTTAGTAACTACATTGTTTGACCATTCTTCACAAAGAGAACTCGGAAGTTTTCCTTCGTTTTCAATGCTCAGGAACAATTTTGGGTTATTGGGACTCTGTTCTTGGAAGCTCTTGTAGATTCATGAAATCTCCTGGGCTCAGTGCCATTGCAGTGACTTTCTTGGTTTCATTAACAGAAACTGTACAGCTTGAATATTCTACTTCATATGACTTACTTTTGATAAACTTTTCTTGTTTAGTACATCATCCATTTTGTATAGATTTTAAAATAAATGCCTAGAAGTCTGCAGGGTACCCTCTAATGATTCTAGGCTTTTCTGCTACTTCAGTGCTTACTTACTTTTGTCTTTCATTAATTTATTTATTATAACTTTTTTCCTATTTAAATTATCTGGTAGATTACCTAGACTAAAAAGAAAAAGTGCCAGGCATAGCTAGTATATGCCTATAATGCCAGCATGAAGGAGGCAGAGGTCATCCTCAGCTTTAGCCAGGTTGAGACCAGCCTGGGCTACACAGACCCTGCTTCAAAAAACAAGCCCATTAAAAAATAGATTTTGATTAATTATGCCTTCTCTTTTCTGTTTTCTAAGTTAATATTGCTTTTATTCTTCTTTCCTATTCTGTACTTCATTTTTATTTACTAATTTTTCTAATTAAGAATAAATTTGTGCCGGGCGGTGGTGGTGCACATCTTTAATCCCAGCACTCGGGAGGCAGAGGCAGGCAGATCTCTGTGAGTTCAAGGCCAGCCTGGTCTATAGAGCAAGTTCCAGGAGAGGCTCCAAAGCTACACAAAGAAACTCTGTCTCAAAAAATAACCAAAAGAAAAAAAAATTTTATTTTATGCCTGTATATGCATGGGCATGTTGATGTGGAGGTCAGAGAACAACTTATGGGAGCTGACTGCTTCATTCCACCTAATGGGTTCCTGCGCATGAGTAGATTATGCCTGCCGTCATATGATTTCTTATTAAGGCTTCTTATTAACCAAACTACTTTTGAGATTTATTTATTTCATATATGTTGATAATTATATCTTTCCATTACTGAACAGTATTCTATAGTATGAATCTATTACATTTTATTTGAGAATTTTGTGTAAATGTAGTCATATGATCATAATATTTTGCATATGCCTTCTACTTAGCTTAATGTTTTCCTTTCTATATCAGAATTTTGTGTAAATGTAGTCATATGATCATAATATTTTGCAATTTTGCATAACATTACTTAGCTTAATGTTTTCCTTTCTATATCAGTACTTACTTTTTTATTGCTGAGTGGTAGATATATCATGGTTTATTTCTCATATATACTCATACATCCATATTTATATGTGCTATACTAAAAGTTCTTTTCATTATTGAAAATGGGGTATTAAAATCTCTGACAGGCTGGCAAGGTGGCTTAACTGGTAAAGGTTAACTGTCAACTCTGTTGTCAAGCCTGAGGACCTGAGTCTGACCCCTGAGACTCATGGTGGAAGGAAAAACCCAGCTCCCGTAAGCTGTCGTCTGTCTCCACCTGTGCACCAGGGTATGCACATGCTCACACGTATTCACACAAAATAAGTAAATAAAAATGAACAAAATCTCCTTCTGTTGTTGTTGCTAGTATTTTTTATGCCATCTTTGTCAATATTTGCTTCATTTATTTGAGTATTCTGATGTTAAATGCATATATGCTTAAAATTGTTGTGCCTTTCTGGAGCAGAAGGCCAACTTATTCTATAACCACCTTCCCTCTTGGGACAGTCTTTGGCTTATAGTCTGTATGGTTTGACCTAAGTTTGGCCATGTTTTTTGGCTACTTGTATATTGAATATCTGTTTCCATCCTTTGTTCAATATATGTCTTTATTGCTAGGGTTTGTGGCTTTATTTTATTGATCAAATCTGTTCTTTGACAATTTTATTCTTGTATAGAATGCTTTCTGTTTTTCCCCACTCCCACCTTCTACTATCTCCTCCATGGCTCTGTCATCATTCCCTCCTGACAAGTCAAAATCCCTTTTCCACATTCACATTTTTTTTTTTTGTTTTGTGACCCACTAATTTTAACCGGGATCATTTTGTGGTCAGGAGTTTAAAACTATCCACTGAAGCCTGGTGGGCTCCCCTTGGGCTACACAGCTGAAGATAATTCCCGATGTCTTCCGGGATCTACTGGTGGCCATTTGTTCAGTGGGGAGGAGTAGAGTCTCTCTCATCTACTCCTCCCAACCCATGGTTGGCTGCAGACAGGCAGAGTTTTGCACAGGCCCAGTGTAGGCAGCCACAGCTGCTGTGAGCTCCTGATTGCAATGCCTGTGTCACCTCTGAGGATAGGATTTTACAGCCTTCCCCTGGCTTCAGACTCTATTCTCTCTGGTCCTTCATTTATGATGTTCCCTGAACTTTAGAGGGTTATATAAACATTCTGTTTAGAGCTGATCCCAGGATTGTCGCTTATTCTTAGTATTTTGAGCAGTCATGAGT